GGTAAGAAGGCAGAGGCGTCCTAGTGCTGTTTCTAACGCACAGGAAAATGTTTTTGTAATGGTGATACAATATTTGTTTTTTTTTTTTTTTGATAGATTGATAGAAAATTGATAGAAAGTTCTCTTAACAAGCAAAACTATTACGAGTCGAAGTCTATTAGTTCAAAACCACAATTTCCCCCACTAATAGCCCAGCTTTTTCAGTAGTCATGGTTGGATTATCTTTTTATTCCCCTCACCTTATCTGCCAATATATCTTAATATAGGAATGCCATTAGCAACCTCAGATTTCCAAACATCATGTGATAGCACAAGCCAGCAGCCGACTTTTCTGTGTTCAAGTTGCTCAGGTGGTCTCGAACCTGATCTTCTCTTGCAGTGGGAGGGACTTCCCCCCCCTTAGTCCCTGCCTTGGGCTCCATCCATTTGACAGGCGTGGGAAGGGACCTTGCCAGTGATCACTGAGGCAAAGATATGGCTGAGTACCTCAGCCTTCCTGTGGTCTGTTTTTATCAGATTGTCAGTTGTGTTCCTCAGGAGACATACAACAGGAGTCATACATTTTCAGTTGTGTTCCTCAGGAGACAAAATATGCTTTCTTCAGTTTGACTTACCTGTAGAAGTCCTTTTTGCTATTCTTTGCAGTCCTTGTAGAGTTCAGCTCCAGCTTTGGCCAAGCTGACCCTATCCCAGCACAACCAGCCAGCATCCCTGTACTCTTCCCTGGACACCTGTCCCTGATCCCATGGCTGCTCATTTCTATCTTTCCCCTTTATTTAGACCAGAAAATCTTCCCTCAGCCATGCTGGTCTGTCCCCTTCTCTTCCTGTTTTCCTGCACATGGGTTCTAGAGGGCACACATTGTATGGAAAGCATCCCTAAAGATCTGCCAGGTCTGTTCTGCTCCCTTGTCCTTCAGGGCAACTTTCCCCTGAGGGGCCCCATTGACTAAATCCTTTAAGAGCTGGAACTTTCCTTTCCTAAAATTCACGGTCCTTGGTTTTACTCTTTGCTTGGTCCATATCCCTCAGGACTATGAACTTGACCAGTGAATGATCATGGCAGCCCATGCTGCCTCCAGTCTTGGTATCTCTGATTGTCTCATCTGTGTTGATGACCAACAAGTCCAGAAAAACATTTCTTTTGGTAAGTAGGGCTGGACTAAGGTCTTAATCCTTCCTAAAGGGCACCTCCAGTGAGCTTCTTGGGAGAACTTTGCCATGTGTTCAGGCTTTTCAAGACAGGACACTGCCTCCCCCTCTCACAGGGTAAATGCAATAATCAACCATCTGTTTATGAACGGCCTCAGACACTTGAAGCCTCAAACTGGAATGACTCAAACCCCAGAAGTTTAACCACAGAAGGTGACGGTCCCTAGTGATCTCACTAAGAGGCACACAACAATTCTCTTTTATAACACACACCAGTGGAAGAGATTTGCACAGGTAATCTGGCATCCCTTTAGATGTGGAGAACATCGAGTTAAAGTAACTTCACACAGGAATTCAGCCACACACAGAATGTCAAGCAGATCCTGGTCCCAGGAATGGAGGTGTGCCCCTGTTCCACTCCGTCAAGACACTACAGGTCTTTCACAGAGTAAACCAGTTTTATTCATAATTTTTAGAATTCCAGTAAAAGAAGTTTACATGCAGACTTCTTGTTTGCAGGTGGCTTTCTCACCAGTGGGAAGGGGGACCTGCCTGTAGGTTCCTTGGTTAAAATGAGATGAATCTAACCCTCCACCAGGGTATTTGTGGAGCAGAACTCAGCATAGCAGAGGCCTGTGTCTTCCCAGATTAACTGGATTATGGATCACTTCATCCTTGGTGTTCATCAGTTTTCTGGTCTTCTTCAGCATCACTGCACCATTTTGTCCCCAGGACTTACCTTTTCATCTGGGCCTTGTGAAAGTAGTCCCGCTGTAGTTCTCGGCATTTCATTATACCAAATCTTCTCCCTGGTAGCAGTTTTTATTCTTTTATTGAATTGCCAAATTCCCACCTCCAGGCACTCCCTAAAAATACTTCCCAAGGTAAGTACTTCCTGGTTCTGTGCCATTCTTTCCCAAAATTCCTGCGCCTGAAGTGTTACAAACACCTTGTAATTGCCATCTGTGGATGCAGCTGTCAGGAGATTTGAGAAGGTCACTCCCCTGCATCACAGCTTTACAGAGACAGAGCACACCCAGGGCCTGTGTGGAGCTCGGGCCCAATTTCCCCTGACCTGCCTTGGCTCCATCTCAGCCTAAAGGTCAATTCTCAAAAGAATCATAGAGGCCTGATAACAATTCCATTGTCCTCCCAATTTTTCTGAATGCTTTATCAGCTGCATCTTGAAACTGGAGATATATGCCCCATCACCCACAGGCTAGGCCAAAGGAAAATACAAAAACTGTCTCCACACAAGGCATTCAGGTGTTCTCTTTATTTCAGTTTTACACTCAGGGATACTCAAGTTCATAATATTAAACTTTATAACTTCAACAAAATACAGCGTGAGGATCTCTGAATATTCTCTGCATCACAGACATCATTCAAGTAATCAATTATACATGGGGAGCCAGTCCTTAAGCAGAAAAAGAAAGACAATGCTCAAACTCAGTTCAGAGAGTAGCACGAGAAAGGGAAAAAAGGAGAATGCAAATGCTCTAACACAAGTGGAGAAAATAATATGGGGATAGCTTTCTACTCCCAACAAGAAACTACTGTATACAGGAACAATAAGAAGACCAGAATCAATCTCCTTTTTACCACAGGAACAATTAGACGACCAGCATCAATCTCCTTTTTATCATTTCATGTTGATTCTACCCTTCAGAAAATGGTCTCTGAAGAACTTACAGAGTTTTCATCAAATATAGCCAAACGAAATGAACATTTATTAAAAACTTTGTACGGCTGTACTAAAACGAACACAATTTGTGCTGTTATATTTCTATATTTCAAGGAGACAGAACACTGAGCACTCCTTTATATGGCAAAAAGAATATTTTTTCATACATTTTACTGCTCTTCTCTGCCCTGGAGAGGATGAGACTCCTCTACTCAGAGGGTCAGAATAATCTTCTTGGCAGCTGAGCTGCAACTGCCTGCATTGCAGAGGTTGGATGGGAGCAACTCTACCAGGCAGCACTAGTGAAAGATAGGCAGACACTCAGTGGCTGTACAGACTGACAGGAAACCAAAGCACATGGAACCCACTCATCTCAGACAATGGCATCCAGAACCCAGGGAAGAAAGAGCCCAGTCCTCACAGAACACTGCGACAATGTACTCTCAAAATATTTGCTTTCCTGAGATGGGAAAGGGGTTTTCTAAATGTTATGAAGGGGAAGATCTGGAAGAGTCTGCCAAAGTGTGCCCTTGTGTCACTGGACAGAAGTAAACCTCGACTGCCTAGTTTAAAAGAAAGAGAGAAAACAGCATAGCCGGAGTGCTAACCACACTCGAAAACTCTCCCAGAAATTACCAGAAGACCTGAAACATACTATAGCCTCAGTGTGAGAACCTGAGTTATCTTTCTTTCTTATTTGTGTTTTGGAGGGACAGAAAATTTTAATTCTGAATTAGAAATGTCAAGTTGATTAAATCAATTGAAATTACAAATTCAGTCTGGAGGTGA